AAAGAAAAGTTGGGGAAATCGTTTGAACACTCAAGTAGAGCATAGATACACAACAGATCTAAAAGAAAATCGGAGAAAACCTCGAAGTGTTAGGGTTTCAGAAGAACCCTAGAATGAGAAAGGCTTGTAAAAGGTCCGATCTTGAGTCGGATGAGTTAGAACCAGGCTCGAAATGCTTTGGATATGCCGGAGCAAGGCCGACGATAACTCTGGAACCTTGAATCGGCAGAGGTCTGGGTGCAAACCTTCGAGGTCTGGCCTCAATTCCTCAGGTATCAGGCGTGTAAGAGCGAGGGGAGGTGAGTATAGGTCGTCCATGGCCAGAGAGGCCATGGATTCTGGTGAGTCGGAGGTTGAAGATGGGGTGATAGAAGCTAGGGTTTCAGGAACCTTCGAGAGAGTTTGAGAGAGGGAGAGCATTCAAGGGCAGTTGACAGAATGAAAATGGGGGGATTAGGGTAGGGTTAGGTGAATTAAAAAGGAAATGGGCGATCGTGGCCGTTGATCAAAAGGATCAACAACCTGGATTAAAAGAAAATCGGACGGGTCGGACAAATAGGTAAAGGGGTTGGGTTAAATCGAAATTAGGCCAGTCCAATTTGGATTCAGAATTGGGTCAATTTTAGGCTAAAATTGAAATGAAATGGGGGCTGTAATTGAAATGAAATGGGGTTAAATGTTAAATAGCCAGTTTTTCCTTTTATTTTATAAAAAATAGTAAAAATAATTTCAAAAGCAAATTGAAAGTACTTACCCAATTAATAATGTATAAGTATTAATTTAAAAATACTGGAACAAATTTTATAATTATAAAATATTATTAATCGTAAACTAGGCTAAAATTGCAATTATGTGCAATTTATTCTTTTAAATACCAAATAAATTTACAAAAATGTGAAAAAATTACCTTGGCTATATTTTGGTATATATATGGGAATAAAATAAATTATTCACCAAAATTGATGATTTTGGGAATAATTATGGATTTTGTACTGCTAAACTAGACAATACATTGGTTTTTAAAAATTTGTAAAAATAACAAAACACTTGGGCATGCTTATATATGCATGTACATGCTATTTTGAAAGTATTTTGTATAAAAATACATAGGGAAAAAAATTGGGTATCAACATATGGTTGGACTCGTAATTGAATGGATTGTCGGATTATGTGAGTTTTTTGGGGTTCCGAGGTACGGGCTCGAGTTGGATTTTTGGGATGATTTTCGGGTTTTGATTAAGATTTGATATTTTTTTATTGGATTTATTTCCTTTGGCATTATTTAATATATTTGAGTTGCTTTTTGCTAGTTTCGAGCCGTTCGGAGGTCGCTAAGTGCATGATGGCATCTTTGGGGCATCATTGGTCTTGCTCGGTATTGGATTTGGCTTGTTCGAGGTAAGTAACACTTCTAAACTTGGTGCTGAGGGTATGAAACCCCGAATTACGTGTTATGTGTTTGGTGTTGAGGTGACGCACATGCTAGGTGACGGGCGTATGGGCGTGCACCATGTGAATTATAACTTCGTTATTTCTGTGATACTGTGTTGTTTCCTGATCGTATCTATAACCATGAAACCTCTATGTATTAGAGCTATTGAGTTGTAACGCATGTTAGAAATCATATCTAGGCTACATGTTTATCCTTTTGTAACCCACTAAGGTCATTTATGCTACTGAATTACCTGCTTACATTGCATTTACATACTCAATCATGCACATTCATATACATATCATATCTCAATATCTGTTGCCATTTATTGATATATCACATCGTATTTTTGGGCTGATTTTTCATGTCATTCAGAGGCCGAGAGACTGGAGAGATTGATGACTGAGTGAGGTCGAGAGCCTGATGGAAGGATGTTTATGGGATCGGGCTGCACACCGCAACATGTTTTATTGATTTATGATGGGGGCGGGCTGCACGCTGCAACATGTTTTACTGATTCATGTCATGATTAGCTTGTTATAACGCTTGGCTGAAGGAGCCCCTCCGGAGTCCGTACACACCCCCAGTGAGCGCACGTACCTACTGAATGCGAGTGCCGAGTGCTGAATGATTGGGAGGACTGAGTGACTGTGAGGACTGAGTGTCTATAAGGACTGAGTGTGTAGGAGGATTGAGTGAATTGATACTCTGGAGAGTATACATATGGTTTTATCATTGAGTTGCATCGCATTTGACACGCACACTTGGCATACAGGCATAAAGATATATTTTTTCTCATGCTGTACGATATCACGTCATTTATGACTTCTCACAAATATTGACATATAGGCATAGAGATGTATTTTCCTCGTGCAATTTGGAAATGAAGCATTTACCATGGAAAGCTTTTGGAAAAACTTACAGTTTTTAGACTTACTCATATTTTTGGCAATTTCGGTAAAAGACTTGGGTTTTCACTTATATACTTGAAAAAGCGGAACTATTTTCGGAAACTATGAATAAGCTGAGCATTTTATCTCTGAGTTACTTCTTTTATTACTTGCTTTACGTTGTTATGAACTGTTATTGGCCATTGGTGTCAGACCCAACCTTTGTTCCAGCTTGTCACTACTTTCAACCTAATGTTAGATTTGTTACTTATTGAGTACATGAGGTCGGTTGTACTCATACTATACTTCTACACCTTGCGTGTAGATGTTGGTTGCTGATGTTGCTGTGATCGACGGGAGTTAGAATTAAAGACGTACATGCGTTCCGATTGTAGCTGCCTCTTGTTCATGGTAGCCTTAGACTTATAAAAATCTATTTATGTATATTTCGAACAGATGATGTATTTATTTCATACTAGCTTTATAAATTCTAATCTTAGAAGCTCATGATTTATACTACTAGTCCTTAGGAACTATATACGACTCAAATAATTTCTCTTACTTGTTGTCTTATTAAATATTATTGGAATTAGATAGTTATTAGTTAGCTTACCTAGCGGGTAGGATTATGTGCCATCACGACTAATTGAATTTCATGACACTGACATATGGTTTTTTGATTTCAATGGTGGAGACTGGATTTGAAGGCTTGCAGCTTCGGTTTTTGGAGGCGTGAAAAGTAGCCCATTTTTGGGGTGATTTCTCTCCTTCAATTATTTTGGTGCAATCTTAATTATTTTGTTGTTCTTGGGTTGGCACTTGATTTGTGGCCAATCTAGAGATCATTCGTAACTCTTGATGATTGATTTAGTGGAGCTTTTAGGGCCTTTAGTCCTGTGATTTTTACTCCTAACATTGAAGAGGTTTTCCACGTAAATCTTGGTGTCTCGTATGTTTAATTATTTTACCTTTCCATATTCATGTTGGTTGATATACTTGTTGCCCATATACGTTCGTGTTTGAGTTTGTTTGTATTCTCTTAATTCAAATAGATTGGGGAAGTTAGTCTTGAGTATTATTCCATTGCTACCTTATCGTCGTGGATCCAACATTTTAAGGTAATGGGTGCTCACTATTAATTAGTGCTAGCAAATGATGGAAGGAGTCAAATTGATATGGACAGAATAAATATGTATTAGACAACATAGATAAATTTTTTGAACTACTCATATTTAATAAAAATGGCAATCCAGTGCACTAAACACCCGCTATGCTCGAGGTTCGGAAAAGGGTCGGACCACTCATATTTAATACAGATCAAAAATAAATTGAATGAAGAAATTAAATATATGAATATCCATATTTATTTTTTGAATATTATCATTATTGTGAGGATTCCAAACCACAATATAGGCTGTCAAATATGGTGGTGGTAAATTGAATATATTTTCTTCTTGTGCCACGATGAACTAAATGAATTAAAGGAAGAAAAAATAATAAAGTTAAGAGCATAAGAGAAAGCCATGTAAAAGGGAGACAAAAAAGAAAGTCAAACGAATAAGAAAAGCTTCCGGAAAAAAAAGAGAAGAAAAAAAAGGAATAATAAATACGAGAAGAATTATCCCAGTACAAAGAGTATACCACGTACGAATCAAACTCTGAATCACGCAGAGCGTATTCTTAGATTCCATTAACCAATAGCACCCACCAGTCTATTTGGTAATGAGTGCTCACCTAAATATATATCAATTTCATGCAAAATTATCTATAAAATTATATATTCGATACCATGCGCAATGGATGCTCAAGCACCAAAATTCTCTATGTGGATCCGCCCACGCGTGCACATTGCTTGTGCTTGTTTAATTTCCCCAACAAACTTTGAGTACAAAATGACTTCTAGCGTCAATGAACTTATATTATAATATAAATTTTACAATTGATTAAGAAGAGTTATGTTTACCTGAAAAAATATGAGTAACAATTAAATGTGATTTATGGTTTTAAAGATATGTGATTTATTCCAATACTAGTGAATATACAAGTAATATTAGGTTTAAGTAGGAAGAAGTGATGAACCAAACCAGTGTTGTTAGAGCAACGGGGACCTCGAGCTCTATTATCTCAGGGGCCTCGAGGTAAGTTAAGAGCAAATAAAGTAAGAACAATAAAGTTAAAACAATAAAGGTGAAAAACAATTGTAGAGCACATCAAACAAGAAAAGCAGAGTAGAATGTTCTATTGTAGCGAATGAGATGATCTTTACAAATGACTAAGGTCCCCTTTATATAGGAGGGAAAATACTAATATGGTACATTTCTAATTATGGTAAAGATTTCTATTGGTACAACTGTATAACAACCTAGTACGGACTTGTACTATTTCGTACAAATCTTATCCCATAATTTATGCCCTGATCCACATGTCCTTGAAAAATTCCCGTTCTTTCTTGAGTGTCATCAGAATTGTACTGCCCTCGAGGCAGATCATGACGGGTCTCCGATTTGCTGCTCGAGGTGCGCACATCCCGGACAGGCTCGATTCTTACTTCGAGCTTCCCGAACTCGAGCTCGGGGTATGATCAAGTCTTCGAAATCGAGCTCTCCGATTTCGACCTTATACAACTTAAGAAGTCATGAAATTGTATTATAATCTTGATCCGTATTTGATTCTTCTTTCTAATGGTGGCCGTCCAAGTTGTCTTTTAGCAATTATTTCAACTTCTCACATATCATTTTGAATCCCAGAGCTTACTCAACTTTTAATAACTTTTATTAGCAATTATTTCAACTTCTCATATACCACTCCAATGTTTTTCTCAAAAGTTTCTAAACTTGTAGTAATAACTTATTCGTGATTTGCTGAACTTTAAGCTGCCAAAAGGTAAGATTATAACATTATGTTGAAGGTCTCTTATTTTCTTCCTTTCTAGTTTGCTTTCTTCTATGGAAATTAATCTGAGATTTTCATTTTCCCTTGTGAAAAATAGATAGCAAGAAAGGTTTATTTTTGGTTTTATTGGTCTAAATTTCATTTAAGCAGCAGCCAAATTCTTGTTGAATTTATTTCTTGCTTCTTCTTTTTCTTCACACTGTTCTCTCTCTCCATTGGCTTCTGTTTTCTTCTTTCAAGATGAACAATCAGTTGTTTTCAAGGTAAAATTTTTCAAACAGCTTTTAATAATTTATTTGTATCCCAATTCAATCCACTCTTTTGCTTGAGATATCCGGCTGTATTTTGTTTCTATTTCTTGCTCTTCTTTTCTCCTGATAAACCTTTTTGCGCTTTTATGCAGATCTTGAAAACTTGAAAGGAAGGGAAAGAAAAGCTACTTTGGCACTTGACTAGTGAAAATTATAATCATGGAAGCAGAAAACTCATTATCATTGGTATGTCATATTATATGTTATATTAAAGCTAATATTGACTTGGATGGTTATCCAAATAATCCTTAAAATACTTGTCCAAAAGTTCATAATATGAAATGGCATATATAAAACATGTATATAAGCATCCATTTGAAAATATTTTTCGTGATAATTAGACTCTAAAAAGTATCACTTTCCTAAAACGTAGATGATTTAGAAGCCGATTGGTGTGGTAGAGCACGCCCTTGATAACTACGTCGTTGTACCTGAGTTGTTGGGGCTCTTAGTCACGTAGATAGTAATATGCTCAACAAGTTCAAAGTGCTAAAAAGTACATTTAAATGTTGAAACAAATTTTATAAAGAAGTTGTTATGTGTTTGGAAAGAAATACTAAAGCTGATAGTTAGCATTTCATGTGTTTGGAGAAAAAGGCTGATAATTAGTATTTCATGTGTTTTGGGAAAAATGCCGGTAAACACAATTTCTATTAGGCCCCATTAGTTTTTCTCTTTAAAGTTTAAGATGTATAATCTGAATATATATCTGAATATTAAGATGTGTATTAAGATTAATACTTTTGAATCTAAATATACATCTGAATATTATGATGTTGTAGTAAGATCTGAATACAAAATAATTATGATTATTTATTTTCTTAACATTTAAATGTATAAAATTTCTCATTATTGAAATTTAATAAACTATAACATTCAAATAAAAAACTAACTAATCTTAAAACTATATCAACAAAATATTAGAAAAAAATAATTTATAGCGTGATTGTGGTGATGATAGCTAATGGTGATTGTTGTGGGTGGCTGGGTGCCGAGTAGCAATTGTGGTTGGTGATGGTGGTGGCAGTTGATGATAATGGTTTTGAGTTGTGTTGGTGGCCGACAATACTAGTTAATGGTAGTGGTTGATGGTCGTAGTTGGTGGTGGTGGTAGTTGATACTAGTGGTTGGCGAAATATGACGGAAATTATGGTAAAAGTGGTTGGTGCGGATGATTGTAACGGCAAGTGGTAGTGACAACTATTGGTGGTGCTTGTTAAATAGTCAAGGCAAAATACCTTACCACCCCCCCTAAACTTGTCACGAATTATTAGTTACAGCCCTAAACTATTCGTGGTCTTAATTACCCCCCTCAACTAGGCCTTTTGAGAGTCATTACCCCCCTGAATGCTGATGTGGCAAATTGTGTGGGTGCACTCACATGCCACGTTGATTTTTTTGTATATGTGCCATTTTTTTTGAATTTTTTTTATATTTTTACCTTTTTAAGTATGTTATTTTTCAGATAATTTTTTTCGAATATAATTTATAATAAAACTTGGATAGAACTACACCATTTAGGCTAAATTTTTTTATTTGGCTAAAAATAATAATGTTTTTGTTAATCTTTTTTTGAATTTGACCTGAAAATAAAGATTTAAACAATTGAAATAAATAGTCAATTCATCTAAAAAGTTATAAATATATAAATTTCAAAAGTATATTTCTTTTTCAGGTAAAATATATAAAAATTATATTTTTAGAGCACCATAATTTAGAGCAATATAAAAAATTATAGTCAAAATAATTAATTTCAAACTATGTATTTTTGTAACTGTTTAGATGCCTTGACTATTTATTTCAATTGTCTAAATCTTTAATTTCAGGTCAAATTTAAAAAAAAGATTAACTAAAACTTTATTATTTTTAGCCAAATAAAAAAATTTAGCCTAAATAATGTAGTTCTATCCAAATAATATTATTAATTGTATTCGAAAAAATTATATAAAAAAGTAACATACTTAAAAAGGTAAAAATATATTTTATTTTTCAAAAAATGCCACATATACAGAAAAATCCACGTGGCAGGCAAGTGCACCCACACAATTTGCCACATCAGCGTCCAGGGGGGTAATGACTCTCAAAAGGCCTAGTTGAGGGGGGTAATTAAGACCACGAATAGTTTAAGGGTGTAACTAATAATCCGTGACAAGTTTAGGGGGGTGATAAGGTATTTTACCAATAGTCAATCGTGATAGTTGTGGTTGATGATGGTGGTTGTGAGTATCGGTGGTGGTAGTTGGTAATGGTAGGTAGTAATAACGTTGAAAGTGGATAGAGTAGTGGTGAAATGCCTTCTTTGTACAAATCTTTAAAAGGATAACATCTTAATAATATTAAGATTTTGTTATAGATGGTAATCATTCAAATCAATCTAGATCCAATACATTGTTGTAAAAGAAAAATAACAAAAAATAACACACATTAATGGTTGAGATTTGAATGATTAAAATTCAAACCTAAAAGATAAACATGCATAATGATTGAGATCTGATTGATTAAGACTCTGACTTTTATTAAGTATAGATAAATTAGACTTTATCTTACTAAAAAGTAGCTAATTATGACATCATTTTTAGTTCTAAATTGACTAAAATACAAATTTTACAACAACACCAACTGTCACGTCTCAATCACATGTAACAAATTGGGGTTGCTATGTATGAATCTTCACTTTTCTATTTAAGCTCAACTTATATCGTTATCATACCAAATAAAAAAAAAAAGTAAGTTGAAGATATGTAAAATAATAATAATAATAATAATAATAATAATAATAATAATTAAAAAAACATTTCTCTAACAACACTAAATCCTACTTCCAACCAGAAGTTATCACCTATATGGACGTTTTTCTTTTATTGTGCCCAATTTTTAGCTAGGTTTGTATTAATCCCAAGAAATTGTAGATCTTTCAAGGCAATTTCTTATGTGATTTTAGGTCTACTTCGTCCCCTTTTAGTACCTTCACTCACTATAGTTTCACACATACAAACTGGTGCATCCGTAGGTCAGTGCAAGACATGATCAAACCATGCATCTCAAGGGGACCTTCTCTCACTTTATCTTCAATGCATGCTACTTGAACCTTTTGGTAAACATGATCACTTTTAATCTTATCTAATCTTGTATAACTGTACATCCATTTTAGCATTTGCATATCTGCAATACTCATCTCGTGGATATGTCGGATTTTTGGCAGGTGTCATTTGCTGAACTTCTCGAGGACATTGTCAGTATTCTGGATTTCATAAGGAGGTTAAAGAATGCAAAAGATCAAACTGCTCTTGACATGGATCAAATTGAAAAGCTGAAATTGCAGCTGAAATCAATGTGGAAATCTATCCAGCTTTCTTATTCCAATTTGGATGGTTTAAGTGCCGAGATGTCAAATGAAACACAACATCTTGAAGATCTGCTCAAGTCAATTTTCTATGGGAATGGATATGACATGTTGGTTAAATATAACATGGATCAGGTCATTCCTCGCCTCCTGGAAAATATAAGAAGTTGTATCAGCTCACAGCATCATCTTAAATCAAGTGTCACCATGACTGTGGAGCAGTTGGTTGAACCTTGGGATGCCCTCCTCGCGAAATTACATGGGATAGTTGCCTATCCGGAGCTCTGCTCTTCTTTTTTGCCTCAATATGAAGTTCTTCGGAATCTACTAAACAATGTAAAGGATTTCCTTGGGTTGAAATTAAATGGTTGCATTGAGCATGAGATAGTTGAATATGTCTTACCTCAGATTCAGCTTATGGCTGAGAGAGTAGGATACTTCAATTTGGACTTTCTTAATACACTTGGTCCCTCTCCAGTCATGCTAGCTCATCTACTTGTGAAGATTATTCCTGTTGCTTTGGAGTTTATGCACATATGTTCTACAGATTTGAAAGCTTCAAAATCAGCAGAAGTTGGACGCTTCATTAAGCAGCTCCTAGAAGCCTCTCCGGATATTCTTCGAGAGTATCTGATTCATCTACAAGAGCACATGGTAAATGTTATTACCTCTAGCACTTCAGCTCGAAACCTTCATGTCATGATAGAGTTCCTCTTGATTATTCTTACTGATATGCCTAAGGGCATTATTCATCATGACAAATTGTTTGATCTCATTGCACGTGTGGGAGCACTTACTAGGGAGGTAGCAACTCTTGTTCTCCACTTAGAAGAGAAATCAAGAAATGAAGAGAATATCAATGAAAGTAACATTATAACTCTGGATTTGCTAGAAAATATTGAACTCTTAAAGGAAGATCTCAAACATGTTTACTTGAAAGTTCCAAGCTTATCTCAATTGTGCTTCCCCATGAGTGACGGACCACTCTTCATGAATCTTCTGCTCATAAACCTAAATGATTTGCTCAATTCTAATTCTTATTCAGTTGCTTTGATAAAGGAAGAAATTGCACTGGTGAAAGAATACATAGAATTGACAAGATCTTTCTTCGTGAATGTTGAGCAAGAATTGTGTCAAGATAACTGGATACATGCTTTAAATGTAGCATATGAGGCGGAACATGCCATTAATTCAATTCTTGTAAGAGATCATGGTCTCTTGCATCTTATCTTCTTACTTCCTGATACCATAGAGAAGATCAAGATTATCAAAGAAGAGGTATTTAATTTGTCGAAGAAGATTCCCAAGAACAGGAGCCTCATTGTTGTAAACTCCCCCAACAGGCCAATATTAAGAAACTCGGCAATAGTCAATCAAGTAATTGTAGGTTTTGAGGAGGAGAAAGACTGGATAATTAGGAAGCTTATCTGCGGACCAGCAGAGATAGATGTCATTTCAATCATTGGAATGGCAGGGCTGGGAAAAACTACTTTGGCTTATAGAGTATATAATGATGAGTCTGTTGTTAGTCATTTCGACATTCTTGCATGGTGCACCATTGATCAAGAACATGATGGGAGGAAGTTATTACATAAAATTGTTAATCAAGTTACTGGTTCGAATGAGAAGTTCAATGAGGATATTGATGTTGCTGATGAGCTGCGAAGAAAACTTTATGGGAGGAGGTACCTTATTGTTTTGGATGACGTATGGGATATTGCAACATGGGATGAGTTAACACGACCTTTTCCTAAAGTTAAAAAAGGAAGTAGAATTATTTTAACCAGTCGAAAAAAGGAAGTGGCTTTGCACGGAAAACACCATTGTGAGCCTCTTTATCTTCGTTTGCTCAGACTAGATGAAAGTTGGGAGTTATTAGAGAAGAGGATTTTTGGAGAAGAAAGTTGCCCTGATGAACTATTGAGGGTTGGAAAAGAAATAGCCCGGAAATGTCAAGGGCTTCCTTTGGTGGCTGATCTTATCGCTAGAGTCATTGCAGCGAAGGAAAAGAAAAAGACTTTGTGGCTTGAAGTTCTAAATAATTTGAATTCCTTCATTCTTGAAAATGAATTGGAGGTCATGAAAATTATACAATTAAGTTATGACCATTTACCTGACCACGTAAAGTCGTGCTTGCTTTACCTGGGAAGTTATCCAAAGGACGAACAAATTGAAGTCTCTAGTTTACAAGATCTATGGACTGCAGAAGGACTTGTAGAACATACAGAGATGAAGAGTGTGGAAGAAGAAATGAATGTTTATTTGGAAGCTTTGATTTCGAGTAGCTTGGTAATGGTAATGAAAAGTGAATATAGGACAACTTGCAAAATTCATGATCTAGTGCATGACTTTTGTCAGGTAAAAGCCACAAAGGAAAGGTTCTTTCACTCGATAGGTTCAAGTGCTCTATCTTGTGCTTCAGATCTGATGCCACGTCGAATGACCGTTACTTTCCATTATAGTCTCCTTGAACAAAATCATGCAGAAAAGAAAAAGGTTTCCGGTAAATACCTCCTTTCTTTGAAGGCTGATCATACAGATTGGCCACCCTTTGGTTTATTGGTGGATAAAACAGCCGTACTAGTTCACTTAAGAGACTTGAGGCTTCTTAGAGTATTAGACATCGCTCAAGTTTTTATGGAAGATTCTTTGCTGAATGAAATAGGCTTGCTAGTTCATTTGCGGTACTTACACATTGGGATGAATGTTAAAGCTCTCCCGTCATCATTGTCAAACCTCTGGAATCTGGAAACTCTGGTGGTGCGTAACAGTAGATCAACCATGGCACTACTACCTATAATTTGGAATCTTGCAAAGTTGCGACATATGAGTATCTATTATTGTTCTTTCTTTGATTTGGATACAGATGAACCAATATTTTTAGTTGAGGACACAAACTCAAAGTTAGAAAAGCTGAGAATAATAGAGCAGCTCAAGATTTCCTATTCGAAAGACACAGAGGATATTTTTAAAAGGTTTCCTAATCTTCAAAAGCTTGACTGTGAAATTGTAGAATCATGGGATTCTTCAGCAGAGTGCAATTGGTTTCCACAATTGGATGTCCTTAATCAACTTGAAGAAATCAATGCAAGGCATCGTCGTTTAGATTCCCAATTTCCAAAAGCCACGAAGGATTTTTGCTTCCCTTCAAGTTTGAAACGGTTGACAATGGAAGAGTTTTATCTGTCATCTGGTTCACTGTCAAAAATCGCGACACTGCCTAACCTTCAAAACCTGACTCTGAACCGCACAATGATTCAGGAAGAAGAATGGAACGTCGTAGAAGAAGACACGTTCAAGAATCTCAAATATTTGGAGTTGTATATGGTGCGTCTTTCCAAATGGCAAGTTGGAGAGGAATCATTTCCCGTTCTTGAGCAATTAATCCTGGCGGAATGTAATAGGCTTGAAGAGATCCCGTCCAGTTTTGGGGATATTGCTTCATTAAGTTGTATCAAACTGGTCAAGAGCCCTCATCTTGAAGATTCAGCTCTAGAGATTAAGCAATATGTTGCAGATATGATGGGAGAGGACAAGCTTCAGGTCCTTTCCCAGTGGTATCGATGAATAATCTGTGAGTATAGACTTTTTTATTAACTTCATTTTTATTTCTTTCTCCAATTACTTTGACCATTATAATCTTCTTTGCAGGGTGCAAATAATAACCTGGGAATACAATTCATTTTGGGCCAACACATCAGTATTAGAGGCTGAAAGCAGATTCTGAAGACATTTCTTTTCTGAAGACACATTAGTATGTGCTGACACAAGTTGCACCTCACCACCAAAAGATTTGGTGTAGAGGATGGGACTGCTCTTCCCATAACCAGAGGTTTTGAGTTCGAGCCATGGATATGGAAAAATCTTTGGTAGGGAGCGCTTTCCCCTGAATGGGGCCCTACGCAGCGCAAATCCGGATATAATCGTGCTCCAATGCGGATACCGGACACCGGGTGAGAAACCAAAAAAAAAAAGAAAAGTTGCACCTCATATATCGAAGTGCATTTTGGTCTGTCATTGCAGCTATCCCTCTATTATCTCCTAACGTTCATCACAAAATCATCAAAGGATTTATGTTATATACATGTGTAAAGATTCTTTTATACTACTTAATACTTATCAATATAGTTTTAATCTCTGAGAGTAGGTTAATTAATCAATTAATTACCTTATACCTGACTTAATTGTGTGTATTTTTTACACCGTTGATTTATAGAACTTAAACTCATCACAAAACCACTTTCTCACAAACTATAGCAATCTCTAACGACACTTTTGTTTTCTAGTTATCATCCCAACAAGTTCTTGCATCTGAGAATATCTGAATGCTAGAACTTTATCAAAATATCTGGATATTAGAAACTCCCCATTGCAAAAGAAAGTATCATCACTTTTTCTATTTTTTCATATATAGCTTCAGGGCTAAGTCAGGCATAGCAGTGGATAGCGTGATGCAAATGAGGCACTAACTGTTGAAGTTTGGCAAAATGCCAAAGTCCCACATTGGTTGGGAGTTAAGTTTGGAGGGGATTTTTTCCCTATAAAAGAAGGCCTAATGTTTAGGATTGAAACACACCTCTCATTTGCCTTCTCATCTGTTTAAGGCATTTGTATCTTCTCTCTTTAGTATTATTTCACTTGTATTTTTGGAGTGGAATAAAATATTGGTTGTGTCCGAGGAGTAGGCAAAATTAGCCGAACCTCGTAAATTCTGGTGTTTCCTTTATTGTTGTTTTATTGTCTTATTTATTATTTGGTGGCTGTCATAATTTTTGGTATAGTAGTTGTGACTTATTCACACTATATACATTTGGCTTCCGCAACACTAACTCCTTTGAATTTAAGCTCCGAGAAAATTTGCGGGCGAGTATTGTACGAAGGAAAATACTTTTCATGGAGAAACTTTCCTGAAAAAATAAATGGTTCTTATTTCCGATGTTTGATTGGTGGGTGAAAAATATATTTGGAAAATGCTTTCTAATGTTTGGTGTTAAAGTTGATAGAGCAAAATATGCATTGCATTTGGAGCTTGTAGTCTGCTAGATGCATTGATCTTATGAAGGGCACATCCGAGATATCCAATAATAGAGGGAGTTCCCAAAGAGGAAAGTGATAGCTGCCATACATCTGGAGATCAAGCTTGAGGAAGAAGACATGCAGAGGAAACCCACACTTGAGAGAAACTGAACTCTGTATTTGAAGAAGAAGAACAAAATGATAAAAGCGTGTGTTTCATTATAGGGTGTACAGTATATTTATACAACTACAATATAACTAACTTCTATTTACTATACTAACTAACTGACTAAAGTTATACAATTAACTTATCAGCTTGGTTAAATAACTCTAGTCAATACTCCCCCTCAAGCTGATGGTTTATATACATTTTTCACTCCTAATTGATTCATCAGCTATTCATGTTGAAACTTCCCCAAACTCTTTGTAAGTATATCTGCTAGTTGATCTTTCGTATGCACATATTGTGTCTTCAACAATCCTTCACAAATTTTTTTCTCTAACAAAATGACAATTAATGTCAATATGTTTAGTTCTTTTATGGAAGATAGGGTTAACTGCTATTTGTATAGCAGCCTTGCTGTCACATATCAGGCTTATAGGCTGTTGAATCTTCACTCCAAGTTCCTTGAGTAGTCCTATCATCCAGGTGACCTCTGCTGCACATGAGACCATACTTCTGAACTCTGACTCAGCTGAACTTTTGGACATAGTCATTTGCTTCTTTGACTTCCAAGACACCAATGCATTTCCAAACTTAACCAAGTATCCAGTTACTGATCTCCTCGACTCTATACAAGATGCCCAATCACGATCACAATAGGCAATCAGCTTGTCTGCATTTTCTGCAGGCATAAGTAGCTCCTGGCATGATGCTTGTTTGATGTATCGGACTACCCTAAGAGCAGCTTCCATGTGTGACATCTTGGGACAGTGCATATACTGGCTTAGGACCTGCACTGCAAAAGCAATGTCTGGTCTGGTCTGGTCATGGTGAGGTATAACAGCCTTCCAACAAGTCTCTGATAACATCTAGGGTCTTTAAGCTTCTGATCACCTTCTTGACTTGTACTCTGAATGCACTTATCATATTCTACATATGTGAGTTTTTGATTCAACTCCAATGGTGTACCAGAGGGCTTTGCTCTACCTAAACTTGTTTCAGAAATTAATTCAAGTGCATACTTTATTTGGCACATAAGAATTCCTTCCTTTGATCTGGCAAATTCAATTCCAAGGAAATTTTTTAGCTCCCCTAAGTCCTTCATCTTGAACTTCTTCTGCAACTCTGTCCTGCTATTATGCAATGACTTATCATTGTTCCCTGTGATCAACAAGTCATCCACATACACAAGAATAATAACTGTGTCACCATTTGCTTCTCTGATGAACAATGAATAGTCATAATGACTCTGCTTGAATCCCATCTGCAAAAGTACCTCTGTCAGCTTCATATTCCAATGTCTTGGTGCTTGTTTAAGCCCATATAATGACTTGTGAAGTTTACAAACCTTCTTAGTCTCCCCTGGCTTGCAAACCCTTGTGGAATGTGCATGTACACTTCTTCAACCAAATCACCGTTTAGAAATGCATTATGGACATCCATCTGATAAAGCATCCAGTGCTGAGATGCAGCGAGAGCCACAATTGATCTAACTGTGTCCATTTTAGCCACAGGAGAGAAGGTTTCACTATAGTCTAAACATTCCTTTTGACTATAACTTTTAGCAACCAGTCTGGACTTGTATCTTTCAACCTCACCTGAGGCCTTATACTTGATTTTGAATATCCATATGCAGCTAATAAGAGTTTTTCCAGGAGGTAAATCAACTATACTCCAGGTTTTGTTTTCCTTCAATGCTGCAATCTCCAGCTTCATAGACTCCACCCATTGAGGATCTGTAACTACCTCAGCAAAGGATTTAGGTTCAGAACCAGATGAATATGCAGCCAAGACTCTGCTATATGAGGAAGTGATATGGGAGTAACTAACATAAGCAGAAATAGGATAGGGATACTATGCAGCATATGATTGCACTACATAGTCTTACATCCAAATAGGAGGTTTACTGGTCCTGGAGGATTTTCTGACCTGAATAGGAGCAGCATCAGATGGGGCAGTCACTGTACTAGGTACTGTAGTGGCAAGATCAGCCTCAAGAGGAGTATTAGGTGGAGGATCCTCTGGTGCTACAATATGTGTGATAGTGTCTTCAGGAGGTGAAGTGTAGTCTCCTTGAGATGTAATGTTAGACTCAGGTAGAGAAGGACTAATTTCAGGTGAGGAATCTGCAGCAGAAGGCCTGGGATCTGTACTAGTTGAGGGTAGTAGATCCAATATAGGAAACACAATGCTACCTGAAGATGACACGTGCTTGAAAGGAAAAATACCTTCCTAAAAGACAACATTTCGGTTAACAAGGAAAGACTTAGCATTCAAGTCATACAAGACATAGCCCTTTTGAGAGGAGGAATAACCAAGGAACACAGCAGGAATAGCTCTTGGTGAGAACTTGTCAACAATGCTGGGACATGCTTCATAGCATAGATAAATGTTGCAGAGAAGGAAGATGTAAGTAGAGCAACTCAAATGGTGATTTATACCCAAGTGTTCTAGAGGGTAGTCTGTTGATGAGATAGACTGCTGTGGTAACACACTCACCCCAAAACCTGAGGGGTATAGCTGCCTGAAATCTAAGAGACCTGGCCATGTCTAGAATTGTTCTGTGTTTTCTCTTAACAACTCAATTTTGTTGAGGTGTGTAAACACATGAACTCTGATGAAATATACCAAGAGTAGAAAGCAATTGTTTAAACTCATTACTAAAGAACTCACTACCATTATCAGTCCTGAAGACTTTTATGGAAGCTGAAAACATATTCTTTATTTGAGTTAGGAAACTCTAAGTACAACTATAACTTTTGACTTAAAGTTGAGCAAGAAAATCCAAGTGTATCTGGTATAGTCATCAACTACTGTAACAAAGTACCTCTTAATTACCCACTATGTGAGGGAACTCCATATGGCCCCCAAATATCACAATGCACTAAGTCAAATGCAGCATTAGACACTGAAGTACTTAGAGGAAAAGGTAGTTTCGCCTGTTTAGCAATTAGACATACATGACAGTATTGAGGTCCTTTCTTTAGGGTACTAAGAGCATCTAACTTCCTTATTACATTAATGGGAGCATGTCTTCTATGCCATACTTCTATATAATCAGTTAAGCTAGCTCTGTGAGCACACTTATTGATTGATGTTGCTGATGAATCCTGGGAAAGTCCTCCTTGAAGTATGTATAAGCCATGCTCCTCCTTACCAATCCCCTTTACATGACCACTGTAGAGATCCTGGAAAATACAGAAGTCAGGGAAGAATGCAACCATGCATTGAAGTTCTTTGGTGAGTTGAGATACTGAGAGCAGGTTGTATTTAAATTCTGGAATGTAAAGCACATTTGAAATATTGTTATTTTTAAGTAGTGATGAGGTTCCTTTGTGTGATACATAAGCTACATTTCTAGTAGGTAATTGGAATTTGCACTTCTCTGAACTGGGAATTGATTAACAAGAAGTAAGTGCATCAAGTTGAGAAGTCATATGATTTGAGGCTCCTGTGTCTATAATCCAATTTTGCTTGAGAAAATTGGGAATTAGAGTGATTAGAGTACCTGTAGCAACAAACTTTCTGGATGATTCTGGACCCTCTTCATTCCCATTGGCTAGGATCTGAAGTATCTATTGGTACTGCTCTTTGGTGAAGAAAGGAGCATCATGGCTATTATTAGGAGTAGTTTGAGCAAACTGAGGCATGTAGGCATGTTGGACCTGTTGTATTCCTGACTGAGTTCCATAAACACCTTGTTGATTGCCAGGTTCAGTAGCATTTGGAAACACTAAACCACTCACATTATTTGAATACACTCCAGAGTTCTGCCCTTTCTTTTTTCCCTTGAAGTCTGAGGGATAGCCATGAAGTTTGTAGCAATTCTCCTTTGTGTGCCCCTTGTAGTGACAGTAGTCACACTGCACTTGATTCTTTCTAAACTTGAAATTTCCACATACACTTGTTGAGTTTTTATTAATATAGAACACTGCTCCTTCTATGCCTTCAGTAGTTTGATTAGTCTGAGTAAAATTAGCCAGACTCCTTTGACTTTCTTGATCAATCAATAGTGAGTAGGCCTTGTTAATGCTAGGAATTGGGTACTTCATCATAATCTGACTCCTTGACTGTGAGTAGGACTCATTCAATCCCATCAAAAATTGTAGTAGCCTGTGATACTCAAAATGTTGGGCATATTTCTTTGATTCAGGACATGGACAACCAGGACAGGGCATTATTGCATCAAACTCATCCCAAAGATCTCTCAACTTGGAGAAGTAGTCATCAACTGACAAAGTACCTTGAGTGAGGTTATGAATTTTTATACTGACATACAGAACCCTAGATCCATTTACCTTGTCAAATCTCTCCTTTAAGTCTTCCCAAACCTTATGAGCATTAGAGGCATATACTACACTACTAAGTAATCCTGGATTTACTGCATTCATTATCCATGAGAGGACTACAACATTCACTTTCTCCCACTGATCATGAAGTTCAAGATCAAACTTAAACTTAGGAAATCGACCATCCACAAAGCCTAACTTACTCTTCCCTAATAGACCGATCTTCATAGACCTACTCCATATCGCATAATTATTTGAACCAGTAAGTTGAAGAGAGATCAGATTGTTACCTGGAGTGTCTGTTGGTTGAAGGAAGAGTAGATGATTGTGGACAATTGACGGAAACACAGCTGTAGCAGCTGCATTATTGGCATTATCAGTAGTTGTTTCTTATCCAATTGCCATTTTCAGTTGCTTCTTCAAGAGTAAACCCTAGGTTTTCAGCTACACGCTACAATTGGACAATTTCCCACAGAGTTGTGAAATTGAGGTAGCGAGAGTAAGAGCGAGCTTGAGAGATGTCTTCGATTCACTCCAGTGGCTTTGATACCATGTTAGCTGCCATAGATTTGGAGATCAAGCTTGATGAAGAAGACATGTAGAGGAAACCCACACTTGAGAGAAATTAACTCTATATTAGAAGAAGAAGAACAGAATGATACAAGCCTATGTTTCATTACAGGGTGTACAATATATTTTTACAACTACAGTATAACTAACTTCTACTTTCTGTACTAACTAACTAACTGACTATAGTTATACAATTAACTTATCAGCGTGGTTAACTAACTCTAGTCAACAGAAAGCAAGTTTTTCTTGACCAGTTTTGTAGAAAGAAATAGATGTTTTTATAGGTGAATTACAAGAGCAAGAAAATGTTCCATCATAGAAATTAAATTATCTTTTTGGCTAAGTTGCTAGAGGAAGATTGAAGGAGAGCCTTGGCGTAATTGGTAAAGTTAATGTCATATAAGCAAGAGGTCACAGGTTCGAGCCGTAAAATATTTTGTGGCCAGGCTCTTCTCCGGACGCTACGCGTAGAGGGAGCTTAGTGGCAGAATGATTTTTAATTATTTTACCTTTATTTATGTCTTAAGAAATAATCTCTATTTATTTTTTGCAAATGAGTCTATTTGTTTTTTGGAATATGTATGAAAAAAATGGTGAAGAAGATGAAGAGTACAAAAAAGGATGAAGAGGAAAGCTCTCAAGAACACAGTGTGTGAGGATGGCCAAAAATGGTGGATTTGAGAGGGGAAGAAAATGGTGCCGAGAGATAGAATATGTTGGGCGTTATTTTTGCCATATCAGCAGAAATTAGTCAATTCGCGCACTTAAATTCAGGTGAGAATCACACATCCTGGCATGTCACTGTGTTGACTTAAATTCAGGTGAGAATCACACATCCTGGCATGTCATTATGTTGATTTTAATATATATATACATTTTACACATATATCCCAGACTCCACCTGTGAAATTATACTGGTATGTTATATATTTTATACATATATATCAAGTATTCAATAGGATGCTTCTTTAGTTGAGTTATCTAAATAATTTTTTTCGGCAAGTTTACACACATATATTTCAAGGGTTCGATAAGGCACACCCTTAGTTGAGCTGTCTAAATGAAAATTGTTGTCAAGTTTTGGAACTTTCTATATATTTAGCCTTAATTTGTATTATATTGATCGATATCAATGCTACTATTACATTGTTTGAAAATAGTTTCTTATTATTTGATTGAGTTAATCCTAAATACTAAAACTCCCTTAAACTATCATATTTTTACCAGTTTCCCACTTAAATTATTCGGTGTCCCCAAAACCCCCAGAACTATATTGCCCTTCATATTTAAACCCCCCTCGTCGCTTACTTGACATAACGTGTGTAATAACTCGTCGGGAGCGTGTGGCGGCCGGAAAAAACCATCAAAATGATCCATCTTAGAATGTAATGGCTAATTAGCCTAACCCTCTTTCAAATTTGTTTTTGTTTTTAAATATTCTCCTTATTTCCTTTATATCCACATTTTTTCCTCATTTTTTCACCATTCTTTCTTATTTTTTTCACCTTTCTCCTTTATTTTTTCACCTTCTTCATCATTTTTCACATTTTTTGTTAAGTTCCCCTATGGTTCCCTCTCAAATTTTTTCTCCCTCTCTTGTTTTCTCTGAAATGAGTTATTTCTCTTTCTTATTTTAGTTTTCTTTCATGTCTTACACATATTGTTGAAAGATCCAATACCTTGTAGAGAATACAGTTGAATCTCTTGAACTTTGTTTGTGTAATCTAGAATTAGAGAATGTAGATGCTGGCCAATTGGTTTTTTTTTTTGCTAAATTTTATTTTGTGTAATCTTGTTTATGTAATATAAAATGATTTTTTAGAAATGTAATATGCCTTTATTTTTTTTTATTGTGCTGCAAAGTGAATTTAATAAGGACTTATTCAATTAGAGTTTAATATAAAACACAAACATAATTAAACCTAAAATTAGCACATTATATTAAATACTAGTTTGGCTAGAACTCTTGGAATTAATCAGTCATCCGAGAGTAATACATCATGAGTAAAATAAATAAACAACTTAGTATAAATAATAAGTTAATATAGTTAGACAAACACACATCTAAAATTCAACATGAGGTTTAAATATATAGGGGAATATAGTTCAGGGGAGTTTGGGGACACCGAATAGTTTAAGTAGGTAACTGACAAAAAAATGATAGTTTAAGGGGCTTTTAGACTGATTTATTTAACGACATGTAGTGCCATATGGCACATTGTTTAGAAAATTATGAGCGTGTAGTAAATGCACATCTAAGAATGCAATGAGGGGTTTGTAATATGAACAACAATATAGTTCAGGGAGTTTTGGGATACCGAATGGTTTAAGTAGGAAATTGACAAAAATATGATAGTTTAGGGTTGTTTTATGGTATTAACTCTATTTGATTTATGAATTATACTCTAAACTCTGCAGAGAGGTAGAGTATATTAGATATGAGAGATCTTATGAGGAGCATAATAACAACAAGCTCAGTGTAATCCCACATAGTGGGGTTTGAGGGGTAGAGTGTACGCAGACCTCACCCTTACCTTATGAAGGTAGAGAGGTTGTTTTCGATAGACTCCTGGCTCAAAGAAAAAAGGAAAATAAGCAGAAATAACAATTGTAGCAACAATGAGATATGTGATAAAGTGATACGGATATAGAATAATCAAAGCAGACGAACCAAAAAATAGTTTAAGAATTCTGCAGATAAGAAGATACGGACATACAAGACTAATACTAATGCAACCGGCATGAAAAGGAGAAACGCATGCCTATAAACTAACCTTTCAAGTTTGTCTTTAGCCAATTACTTCAACTTCTTTCACATATCATTCCGAATCCCAAATTGCGGCACACGTCTGAGTTTCCTTCTCCCTTTCCAGTAGCAGTGGTGATCTGTCTAATTCATACACCAACACTTAATTTCCTATAAAGTACTTCTTTATCTATTTAACAACATGCTTAACCAACAATTTTTAAACTAATCAAGTCTTTTATTGAAGCGTAACTTCAAAAGTCTACCCTCCAGCAGCTAGTTTCTTGTGCATTTTAAGGATTGATGTAAAATAGACATTTTTAATCTAATCAAATCATAAGTGAAGGATGATGTCATAAGTTTATCGTCCAACTTGTCTCTTGCGTATGAGAAACTATATCTCCTCATACTATTTTATTTCATCCTTCTGGTAAATGTCATCATCAATTGACAACAAAACTTTATCATATATATATAATTGTAAACCAGCTCACAGGACTAGTAATTCATAAAAAAACTTTAACAGTATGTTGATTTTATGTAAGAGGTGAAAAAGAATTAATAAGAGTGCACAATGATCAAAAGTGGACGAATTGTATTTTACATGATGATAATTTCGAGTGCAAAATTACTTCTAAAGTTGATGAACTATATTTGCTGAAGTCTATTTGATTGTTTTCCGATTGGCAGGCCTTTGAAGTTTTTTTAAGCCAATTTTCCATCTTCTTTAACAGATCTTTTTCAACCTGAGAAAGATGCAATATTTATGTTCATATATGTACTAACTAGAGGGGTTGCTCTGATGGTAAGCAACTCCCACTTCCAACCGAGAGGTTATGAGTTCGAGTCTCCCCAAGAGCAAGGTAGGAAGTTCCTTGGAGGGAAGTAAGCTGGAAGTCTATTTGGAATGTACTAACTAGCTAGAGAAGACTTGTCAAAGTTAGACTTTTATTCTACTCTGATATTATTCTACTCTTATCAGCTATAATTTAAATTATTTAAAAACAGTTTCTTATTAAGTGATGTTTAAATTATACTCTGAACTAATCTGCAGACAAGTAGAGTATATTAGATTAAAGGCCAGATATCAAGACCAGGAACGCACATTTAAATTTTACAATTGATTAAGAAGACTTGGGAAGTCAATGAAATTGTATTTTAATCTGGGAATTGTGGATCTCTATAGCTCTTTCTTCTTCTTTTTCTTCACACCATTACTATCTTTCCTTTGGCTTCTGTTTTCTTCTTTCAAGATGAAGATTCAGTTGTTTTCAAGGTAAAAATTTTCAAATATTTTAATAATTTATTTGTAGCCCAATAAAATCTACATTTTGTTTGAGATTTCTGGCTGTATCTGCACTAAATTGTTTCCTGCATTGGCTATATGCTTCTTTCTTCAGTTTCTAGTAATAATTTTTTTGTGCTTTTTTATACATCAGATTTTTAAGAACTTAAAAGGAAGGGAAGGAAGCTACTTCGGCACTGCCTAGTGAAAATTACAATCATGGAAAGAGGAAAAGGAAATGAAGGAGAAAGAGAGAACTCATCGGTATGTCATACAATATTTACATATATTGAAAGTAATATTGACTAATTTTTACATACCCTTTTAAGACGAGATCAGTACTCGTTTGTAAATATTTTTCATTGCCTCTTTTCCTTTTGTTTTTTTCTCTTTTTTTCTTGTTAATTTCTTCTCCTAGATTTCAATTTAGAGAACCTAACCAAAATGAAATTTTTTTCCTTCTTAAAATAAACTCCAAACGACAAATGAACTCTTCCTTTCAGGAAACAATTCTTGCTTGAATTTCCATGAAAGGGTTTCAGTGAAAATATCTCAACTGTGAAACTCAGTCAATTGATGAAATCATATTCAAGTTCTCAATTCTATGAAGTATTGTTGGACTTGATGAAACTCAAGCCATATTTCTTGTTCTCAATTATTTATCATGTATATGAAACTGTTATGTTCTTATCCATCCACATTCGCACTAATATTAGTGCGAATAACCAAACCACAAATTTGATGCTGATCAAGTCGCATCAGTTAAAACAAAATCTAAACCTATATAAACACATTAAACTTATTGATCCTCGTTAGATATAATTTGGAAGAAGTTGGGGTTTTGTTATGTTTGTCGATCCTACAAAGGTTTCCCACAGATATTGGAAATAAAGCCTTCTATACTTATGTTAGTTGCATGTTCATTAATGTATAATTTCTTATGGGAAATATGTGGCTTCAAAAACCAACATTTTGTCTTTTTGCAGGTGTCATCTGCTGTATTTAGAAAGGACATTGTGAATCTTCGAAATTTCATAGGGAGGTTAAAGAATGAGGAAGATCAAATTGCTCTTGACATGGATCAAGTTGAAGCGCTGAAATTGGTGGTGACATTAATGTGGACATTTCTCCAGCTTTCTTCTTCTTCCAGTTTGGATGGTTTTAGTGCCAAAATATCAAACATAACAGGAGAGCTTGAAGATCTGGTTGAGTCACTCTTCTACAACAGTGGAGATGACATCCTAGTTAAATACGACATGGATTGTGTCGTTCCTCGCATCATGGAAAATATCAGAAGTTGTATCAACTCGCAACATTCTCCTAAATCAAGTGCCACCATGGCTGAGGAGCAGTTGGTTGAACTTTTGGATAGCCTCCTCGTGAATCTCCATGATATAACCAACTTAGCTGTTGGACAATTTACTCCATTCATAACTCAACTTGAGGTTCTTCGGAATGTGTTTAGCAATGTAAGGAATTTTTATGGGTTGACAGTAAATGGTTGCGTTGAGCATGAGATAATTGAATATATGTTACCTCAATTTCAACTTATGGCTGAGAGAGCAGGACACTTCTTTTTGGTCTGTATTGTAGAAGAATTGGAGGGAACACTTGATGTCAAGCTAGGTCATCTATTTGTGAAGATTATTCCAATCGCGCTAGAGGTTATGCACATATGTTCTACAAACTTGAAAGCTTCAAAATCAACAGAATTTGGATGCTTCATTAAGCAGCTCCTAGAAGCCTCTCCGGCCATTCTTCGAGAATATCTGATTTATCTACAAGAGCACATAGTAAATGTTATTAACCCGAGCACTTCAACTCGAAACATTCATGTCATGATAGAGTTCCTCTTGATTATTCTTACTGACATGCCCAAGGACTTTATTCGTCATGACAAACTATTTGATCTCTTGGCACGTCTTGGAGCACTTACTAGGGAGGTATCGATTCTTGTTCACCGCTTACAAGAGAAATCAAGAAATGAAGGGAATACCAATGAAACATATTGTGGAACTCTAGATTTGCTGGAAAATATTGAACTCCTGAAGGGAGATTTGAGACATGTTTACTTGAAAGTCCCAAACTCATCTAAACTCTGCTTCCCCATGAGTGATGGACTGCTATTCATGAATCTTCTACTCAGAAACTTGAATGCTTTGCTCAATTCCAATGCGTATTCAGTTTCTTTGATAAAGGAAGAAATCGAGCTGGTGAAAGAACACCTCGAATGCATAAGATTTTTGTTCGTGAATGTTGAACATGAATTGTGTAAGGATCATTGGATACGTGCTCTGGATGTGGCATATGAGGCGGAACATTCCATTAATTCAATTCTTGTCAAAGATCATGGACTCTTGCAGCTTATCTTCTTGCTTCCTGACACCATAGAAAAGATCAAACTTATCAAAGAAGATGTTTTCAATTTGGTAAAGAAGTCTCCTGAGAACAGGGCCCTCATTGTTGAAAAATCTCCCAACAAGCCAGTTGTAAGCAAATCCTCAATAGCTAGTCAAGTACTTGTAGGTTTTGAGGAGGAGAGAGACTACATAATTAGGAAGCTTATTTGTGGACCAACGGATATAGACGTCATTTCGATAGTTGGAATGCCAGGGCTCGGGAAAACAACTTTGGCTTACCGAGTATATAATGATAAGTCTGTTATTAGTCATTTTGATATTCTTGCATGGTGCACAGTCGACCAAGAACGTAATGAGAGAATTTTGTTGCAGAAGATTTTTAATCAAGTCACTAATTCGAATGAGAAGTTTAGTGAGGATATTGATGTTGTTGATAAGCTGCGTAAAAAGCTATATGGTGGGAGATACCTTATTGTTTTGGATGACTTGTGGGATACTGCAACATGGGATGAGTTAACAAGACCTTTTCCTGATATTAAGAAAGGAAGTCGAATTATTTTAACAAGTCGAAAAAAGGAAGTTGCTTTGCATGCAAAACGCCACAGTGAGCCTCTTGATCTTCGATTTTTCACAGTAGATGAAAGTTGGGACTTAATAAAGAAAAGGGTTTTTGGAGAAGAAAGTTGCCCGAATGAGCTATTGGGTGTTGGAAAAGGAATAGCCCAGAATTGTCAAGGGCTTCCTTTGGTTGCTGATCTTATTGCTGGAGTCCTGGCAAAAAAGGGAAAGAAAAAGACTTTATGGCTTGAAGTTCTAAATAATTTGGATTCATTTATTCTTGAAAATGAAGTGGAAGTCATGAAGGTTATACAATTAAGTTATGACCATTTAGCGGATCACGTAAAGCCGTGTTTGCTTTTCCTTGGAAGTTATCCAAAGGACGAAGAAATTAGTGTCTGTAAGTTGCAAGATCTATGGAGTGCAGAAGGAATTCTGGAGCAGACTGAGATGAAGAGTGTAAAAGAAGTAATGGAGGTTTATTTGGATAATTTGATTTCGAGTAGTTTGGTAATAGTAAAGAAAAGCAAATATGTGCCGAGGACTTGCAAAATTCATGATCTTGTGCATGATTTTTGTCAGGTAAAAGCCACAAAGGAAAAGTTCTTCGACTTGATAAGTTCAAGTGCTCTATCTTGTGCTTCAGATCTGATGCCACGTCGAATGACCATTCCTTATGATCGTGTCTCTGTTTGTAAGCGTTCTGATTCTGAAAAGAAAGTGGTTTCTGGGAAATACCTCCTTTCGTTGAAGGTTGATTGTGCACTTTGGCGGACTGATGGTTTTTTGGTGGATAAAATAGCCGTCCTAGTTCAGTTAAGAGACTTGAGGCTTCTTAGAGTACTGGACCTGCCTGAAGTAATTCATGGAGAACATTTGCTGAATGAAATAGGCCTGCTAGTTCATTTGAAGTACTTAAACATTGGGATGAGAGTTAAAGCTCTCCCTTTGTCATTGACAAACCTATGGAATCTAGAAACTTTGTTGGTGCAAAGCTATGATACAACCATAGTACTACTACCTAGAATTTGGAATCTTGCAAAGTTGCAACATGTGAGCATCCGCCGTTGTTCTTTCTTTGATTTGGACACAGGTGAACCAATACTGTTAGCAGAGGACTCAAAGTTAGACAAGTTGAGAATATTAGATGGGCTCCGACTTTCCTATTCGAAAGACACAGAGGATATTTTGAAAAGGTTTCCCAAGCTGAAACAACTTGTCTGTAAAATTGTAGAATCATGGGATGCTTCAGCAGAGTGCAATTGGTTTCCAAAATTGGATGTCCTTAACGAACTTGAAGAACTCAAAGCAACGTATTTATCGGCCACTGATTTATCTTATCAAGACGGCTCTGGTTCACATGACATGTTGCCCTTTTCAGCAAGACATCTGAGTGATTTTCGCTTCCCTTTGAGCTTGAAAAAGTTGACATTGTTAGACTTTAATCTGACATCTGATTCACTGTCAACAATCGCTAGACTGCCCATCCTCCAAAAGCTGACTCTGGTGAACACTATCATTCAGGAAGAAGAGTGGAATGTGGGAGAAGACAACACCTTTGAGAATCTCAAATATTTAGGGTTGGTTCAGGTGCGTCTTTCAACATGGCAGGTTGAAGAGGAATCCTTTCCCGTGCTTGAGCAATTACTCCTTAGGGAATGTAATAAGCTTGAAGAGATCCCGTCCAGTTTTGGGGATATTGCTTCATTAAGGAGTATCGAACTGATCGATAGCCCTCAACTTGAAGATTCCGCTCTAGAGATTAAGGAATATGTTGCAGATATGATGGGAGACGACAGGCTTCAGGTCCATGTCCAGAGTTATCGTGAATAATCTGTGAGTATATACGGCTTTATTAAGTTCATTTTTATCTCTTTCTCCAGTTACTTTGACCATTATAATCTTCTTTGCAGAGCGTAAATAATAACCTGGGAATACAATTCATTTTGGGCCAACACTCACACATCAGTATTAGAGGCTAAAGACCCATTCTCCAGACAGTTATGCAATTTTTCATTTGTTTTCCTCCTCTTTTATTATTCTAATATGTCGAATAACAATAGCTGATGGTACCAATACCAATTGCTAACAGAGGACGTTTGTTCAAGTTCCAATATTGAGGTAGGCAATATAAATCCTCACTTTTTTCTTTAAGCTCAACTCATATTATTATCATTAACAAAATAAAATAAAAGTGAAAAATGAATAAAAGTGAGAAGGCAGTATGAAATAAATCTAGCACTTTGTTTAGTCAATACTAGCAGCTGAGGACAATGTCCTCTTTGCTTTCTTCTTGCTATTTTGATGAGAAGTGTTCTTTTCGCTTTTTAATTTTTAACTTTTTTTCTTTTTAAGAAATAAGTTGAAGTGAAATATGGACAGGGTAATATGTTAATGTAAAAGAATGAATTTTGGAAAGACTCAACGCATTCTTGCATGGGTCGGCTCATTCTTCGATCCCTGCTTCTTCCTTCCCCGTCTCCCTATTCCTGCCGCCCAAATAAGGCCTATGGAGTATAGGCATCTATCTTTGGTACCGACATGCAAAGGTTTGAATCCTTTGACTCCAGATTATGAATACTCGAATAAATCTATCGAGCTGGTGACTACAAATGAAGCAACTAATTCGCAAGCCAAAATTTTGACTACCTATCTTTGCTAAGAGAAGAGAGAGGAAATAATGTGTTTCCTTTCTTTTCTCTCCCATTTTCTATTTTACAAGACAAGAAGGGAGAGGAAAGGGGTTTTTACAAATACAAACAATTTCTTCCTCCCTATGATGAGTTTAATTTACCTTAGTATGAATAGCTTGTTCCAGTTTGAGTCCTTTTGAATTGTCACTGATTAATATTTTAATTACTTATTCTTAATCTTTTTCTTTAAAAGCCTACTGCAAGTAGAAGAAGAAAATATAGTGAGCTTTGATGGTGAGGCAGACACCATCTTTGGTCATCCCAACGACATGCTATATTGCGGAAATGCAACCACTTTATGTAGAATTTAAACACATACATACATAGAGCTTAAGCAACGGAATATGAATAGGAACATATTTTTAGTCACGGTTGTTTAAGTGTCGTAGAGAATCACCTTTGATCGAGCTTATAGCCAAAACCCTATGAGTCTTCTAGTCTATGTCTATCACAAAAGAATACCAGACTCATGGAGTCATATGTGGTTATATTGGTAGGCTAGAGACTCTTAGGTAAATATCTTTAACCCTAGAGACTTCTCCATCAAATACGATTGCTTTAGGGACTCATAATAAATAGTTTTCTTCAATCAAGGAAACTTCTAGATATGCATAACTAAAATATTATTTACTTAGGAGACAAGGCATATAATTAATTACCTAATATGTGAGCCACGTCAAAAGTCTTTAAAATAGAGAGTAAATTTCTAATATTTTACCACTTGGTGCACATATTGAAATTAAATAATAATAGGTTATGAGGGAATAATATGGCCATGACTTTATTCACTCAACTAACCATTATGTATTATCAGTTTAACTAGAACATATCGTGTAACGACTCGATCTGGCGTTTTGAGAATTAGCATTTCGTTCGGTGGCTTAAGGTCTCGAGCAGCTACGTATTATGTATTATGACTTGCTTGTGTGGTCGAGTTCGATTTTCGGATGATTCAGAATTGATTTGGAAAAATAATTTTTGTTTTAGATGCTTAAGTGAAAAGAGTTGACTGGAGTTTGACTTTTGTGTAGACGACTCATGAATGGTATTTTGATGATTCCAATAGCTTGATTTTGGACTTGGGCATATGCCCGAATTTGTATTTGAATATTTCTAAAAGGTTTCGACACTATTTGGTAAAAGTTGACAATTTGTGTTAGTTTTTCCAACAATTATGGTGATGTATGGGAGAGGTAAGCAATGATGCAACTCTCCTTAGTGAGATAAGCAATGATGCAATGAGTGGTAGGTGAGATGGGAATATTGCAAATTGATCCTTCTTGGTAGGTGAGATTTGCACTTTTGGTCCCTATCTCAAAACTATAAATACCCCCTTCCATTTCATTGTATAACACACCAAAAAAAATATATCAAAACTCAAGAAGAAAGAGTTTGAGAGGGAGAGAGATATAGTTCCTTTAGGAATGTTTCCTAACAGGGGAGTGACAAAATAGTGAGTAGAAATACTAGTCGGGTATTTTTCGGGAAACACTTTTGTGTGCGCCACTATTTTGGGTAGAGCTCAGGAATTGTTGTACCTCCAAATTATTGGGGAAGTCTCTCTTTGTATGCCTGCTAAATGTTTTAGTGGAAGTTGGTGTCGGATTTGTGGACGTAGCCTAAACGTTTTAGGTGAACCACGTTAAATATTGTGTCATTTATTTTTGGTTTCATTGATCATTTATTTTATTCCGCTGTGCAGTAGTGTTTAGTGCTACCGGGTCCTAACAATTTGAAGGTTTGGAAAGTTCATAGGTTTGACCGTGAGTTGAATTCGATGTTCTCGGATTCAGATTACGCGTGGTTTAACAGTGAATCCCCGTTGACTTGCGATGAACCTTTCCACTGCTCCAATGATTGGAGAATCTCCCACAGCATACAAAATAATTGCTTGTCTCCATTTCTCATTATCTCGTTCAACATCCTCTTTTTCTAATTGAACAATTTAAGTTCCATCTCTGATAGTAGGAGCAACAAATTTCAGATTCATACCTTTGGCCGCCATCTTATTACTGGAAAACAAATTCGCCCATGTTTTCCCCTCCCCCTCCCCATTTCCGGCCAAGGCGTAGGATGCCCAACACGCTATAATGCGTCGAGAGAGAAAGTTAGAGAGCGAGAAAAAGCTTATCAGTATCAAGACAAGTTGAAGAGTTCAATGTTAAGAAATTATTCAAATGCAAGGTAACTCGTGAGGTGATGATTGACCGAGATCAGAGACTCTTACTATTAACAGCCGACTTAACTAGAAAATATGGAGAATACATGCAATGCAGGGTACTGTTGATAAATGTATTGTTCAAGAAAGGGTTAGCAAGATTCTTGACTAGCTTAATTCGAGGTTAAATTGATGCCCTAATTCACCATTATTTATTTAATATATCTACTAATTAGATTCGTAGAATTGTGATTCAAGTCATTCCTTAGTATTTCAATTTACGTACCCATGAGAGAGAGAGAGAGATTGCCATATACTCAAATGAACTGAATAATGAAAGTTCTTGGATACTATTATTTTATAACTTGATGAAAAATATTATCAGCATTGTTGGTGCTCTAGAACAAAATCATTTTGATGGTTACTGTTGATTATTTTTTTTTTTTTTTTTGGTTTTATTGTTTTTAGTAGTAGTATTAGTATGCATTCTTTAACAAAACCTTTCAATCAGTGTTCTACGTAGTTTTAGATAGATCTCCATTATTCAGTTCATCTTGTATTCTTTTCCATATACATAACATCAATTCAAATCATCGGACTATTTTTATCTATTATTTTGAGAAGTGTCAAATTTTAAGTCATTTAAGTTAAACATTTGTGAGTTCAGTCCTCGTTGTACTTCCATGAACACTGATAGTAGGCTATATAGTTGATATTTACACCTTAATATGACCGTACTTTGTTGGTGTTTTATAGATAAATTGCCAACAAAAGACTCTGAATAGTGTTCTTTTGTTTCGCAGGGAATATTATATGAGAGGAATCAACATGGAGTGTTTTGGAGGCGATAATGTGAAGAAAATGCCCACTCGAGAAGTATCCGAGCACTAAGAAGCAGAAAATGGCTTGGGCAAGAAGTCCACCGCGACCGCGGTGAACCGCGATTGTTTATAATCGTGAGGCAGAAAGGACAGCTCTCATCGCGGTTGGCCACCACCGCGGTGCACTGTTCACGCTGCTGGAAGTTTGAGGACAAAAGTGTAATTTCGATAAACTTTTGTAAACCCTTATAAGCTTTAGAAACTCGCCCAAGATTGTTCCAAGTTTTTTTTTAAAACTATTTTTGGAGGCAAGAACAAGTGGGAGAAGATCAACCAAACATTAGAGTTTTTCTATCTCCTTTTAATTCTTGCAATTTTCCATTATGAACAATTTAGTAGTTTCCTCTTATTTTGTTATGAGTAGCTAAACACTTATCTAGGGCTGATGGAACCAATTGTTGGTTGAAGTTTTGACTGAAGTTGTTATAATCGAGTCGGATTTATGATATGATTGTTCAACTACGTTTTGTATGGTGATTAACTGAATGGGCCCTTGATTAATCGTGTCTAATTACCTTATATTGCTTGAGAAAGAGTATTAGGTTAGACAGCTGTTGAACAACACCACTTTTGGGTAATTGAAGAGATTCATTACTTGAACTTGAAAGTGGGCTTAGAGATAACCGAACTTTGGTGGGATAATTTAGAGTTGCACACATATTGTCAGCTAGAGTAGTTCGAGAGAATGCTCTAGTAAATTATTGTAGTTGATCGAGAGATAATTACGATAACCCATAACTCTTAATGCTCATACAGTATTACGGCGAGATTATAGCGGAAGAGTCAAGACCTAAACTAGCAATTGGGGAAATTACTGCCCTAGACCTTTTTACCATTGAATTATCTTTGTTTTATCTTACTGTTGTTTTTCATAGTATTTGAAGTAGTTAACAAAAACTCAATCTTAATTGAGCAAAAATCTTGCATCTAGAGATTGATTGAGTTGATAATAACATTGCCGAAGAGTGTAATAGATAAGTTAGTTCTCTGAGGATTCGATTCCGGACTTAAAACCAGATTATATTTGCAGCGACCGCTTTGTCCTTTAAAAGGCATAGTTGGGCATTATCAAACACCTATTATACTAATTAAGAAGTTACACTTGAAAAAAAAATTAAAAACTTACCAAATTAGTTTTCTATAATCTTCAATTACAGATAAGAATACATTGCCTTAAAGGTAAGTATTAATTAATCTTCTTAATCCAAATCCACCTCAAATATTAAAAATAGGCAATCTATTATGTAAACATATATGGAAAATATATCATAGTTTTCATGAAAAAGCAAATATGGAAGAAAACTTATTAGATTTCTAACAATGAATGCAATGTACAGATCATGTAGATTCAAAAAATCTATTACTTAGCATTTTTTCTTTTACATATATATATATATATATATATA